TTCATCATGTGGCTAGATAGGATGATTACACAATGGAGGAAGGTGCACTCTCATTTCTTCCAAGGATGCTTCTATGGTCAAGAATTCAAAAGGTCCCTAAAATTTGCCAGATTGTGCTAATCAATCAATGTGTGATTTTTTTTAAAGATTTTTCTTTAAGTTTGGAGGTCAGATGAAGGATTTTTCTCATTTTTATGGTAGCTCCCCTTCCTCCCCTCACTTCAACCAACCACCTAGTGGTGAACATTGACAAAAACTAGCTGTCACTAAGTAGAGCAGTGCTTCTCAATTCCGGTCTTCAGGCCCCCCTTCCCAGAATGTTTTAGGTGTTTCCCTACTGCCACACACCTGGATTGAATCTATGGGTGATTAACAAGCTTCTGCAGCACTTGATGCCTGCAGATGAGGTAATCAACTGTTGTGAAATACAGGCACATTTAAAACATGCAGAGCAGGGGGGCCTGAGGACTTGAGAAGCACTGAAGTAGAGCAAGAAAATTACTGAGTTGGCAACAGATTTTTGTTAACTACAAATGTTCAGACCTGACCTGGTGGGTCGGTCTGTCAAGTCACACAGCAGAAGAGGACAGAGACTGATTTTTAAACCTTTGCTGAAGAAGATAAGATTAGGGGATAAGATGGGCTTCATTTGTACACTGTAAAAGAAAGTCTGTAAATTTCACAGTAAAAAAATGTAAAATACCAACAGCTTCTGACCGTAATATCCAAAACATTTTAGTACCCTAGAAAATACATGGGATTACTGTAAGTATCAGTTGATCACCAACCTCCCAAAACTAAGGAAATCAGCACCAATAAATTGGTGCACCCCTACAAACCTTATTTCTAATATAAGCTTTTTTGTCACTTTAGTGTCATTAGCAGCTGACTGCTTTGCTGTGTTTCAGTAGAGAGAAGGAACTGACCCGCAATCAAGTTACTTCTCAGACTAAGTATTTTTGAAAAATCTCTCTTGATGAGGTTGCTGAAACATTTCTCTTTGAGTGCTCTGTGCAAACGGATTTTCTGCACTAATGTGGGTACGTTCCCAAAAAAATAAAATTTAATCAAAGATGCTCTGATGCCAGGGGGTTATGTAAGGAACCATGTGCATTAATACACACATGAACAGAAGATTTTGACTTGCTTACTTGCACCTTTGACATAACTGAACTTGGACTACAAAATTACTGATAGGAAAGCAAAAAAGAGGCCTCACAAAACCGATTAGCCGAAAATCATGACCTTTTTTATCAGTTCCACAGCAAATGTTGTGACATAATAGACAAGAATACATCATGGGAAATAGAGAAAAATTAACAGACTGGAAAATATAACCCATAGACTATAAAGACAAACAATAAATTTACTTTTTGTTTTTTGCACTCCTTGGCACTCAAAGTACACAAAAAATGTTTAAGGGTTAAAAAAGTGGCTTTTGCATGATATGTCCTCTATAAATCTGGATGGGGTCTGAAAAACAAAGCTAGAATACAAAACTTTTTAACTAAATTGTAAAATTAAAATTTTTAATGCAGACAAAGCAACGTTTCTCTGTGCTTTTCAGCACTGAGCAGTGAAATGTGATGAGGAGCAGAACGATGAAGATGAAAACAAGACAAAATGATACACCGACTCTTTTTACTCTGAATTCTAAAATCATTAAAACTTTGATGAATTTAAAGTTTTATTAATTAACTTTTTGATTTTATTGATGAACTTGGTTAAAATCCAATTACATAGTTTTATTCACCAAACTCAAACCAGATCAGTTTTCTAATCTCCAGCTGCCCTCCGACCTTTGAGCAAGGCAGTATAATTACTACCAGACCTGATAGAAGCAGGTCTAACACAAAATTAAACAAACAGTTACAGCAGCATAATAAAGAAACATAGCAGAGAGTTGGAATATAACTAAAACCAACTAATGTTCCAGTTATTATGAATCAAAAACAGATTTAAACATGATAATTTAAACTTTAAAGGAATTCAGTGTTTGCAGAACTCTGCTCTGATTCCAGTTTTATCTACAGAGAGGAATCACTCTACAGCTGGAAATGATTCAGTTTGATTTAAACATCCTGAACCTGATGATGATGATGATGATGATGATGATGATGATGATGATGATGATGATGATGATGATGATGATGATGGAAACCTGTTTTCCTTCCTATTAAGCATAGACATAATGAAAATCCATATACAACATTAAGGCAGACAGGTTCACTAAAACACAGCAGGATTAATGTTTAAAATGTTTTTAATCAAAGTTCAGGTTGTTTTAAAAGCTGCAGGTTTCAACAAATCACTCAAAAGTTCTTCATGAAAATTCAGCTTCATGTTTTAAAGATTAGATAAACATGTTTATGATCTACGTAAGTCATTCTGCAAGTAAAAACTTATTATTATTATTATTATTATTATTATTGTTATTATTATTATTATTATTATTATTATTACTCCTTCAGTCATTTCCCATAAATCATCAGTTCCAGGTTTATTTGCTGAACATTCTGGTTTCCTCCCATCATTGTCTTTATTTTCCCAGTTTCCCGTGAACGTCTCAGCTGAGCTGGACTCTGGTTCTGTTCTTCGTTCTGGTTCTGGTGTGGAGAGCGGAGCCTCTGCACTGGCAGATGAGGTTCATGATGAGGATGGGCCGGATGTTCTGGTCTCTGAGGCCGTAGATGAGCGAGCTGAGGCACTTGGGCAGGATGATGACGGCCATGTAGAGGCTGACCTGCAGGCGGACGGCCGGGACGCGCTCCAGGCTGCTGGTGATGACGATCAGCAGCGAGTTGTAGACGGTGGAGGACATGCTGAGGCCCAGCTGCACCAGGTGCAGCAGCAGCGTGCGCCGCGCCCGCACCGCCGACGCTTTGTCCGTGGACGCAGAGCGCGCCGCCACGATGATGCCGGCATAGGCGAAGGAGACGGTGGCCGCCCCCAGCAGGAACAGGAAGTAGGTGAAGGCTCTGTCGTATTGGTCAGACACGGGATCGATGAAGGCGCTCTCCTTCCCGCAGTAGTACACCATCTGCATGACCCCCAGGTCAGCTACCGAGAAGCGGGACAACATCAGGCTGAGCTGGACGATCACGTGGGAGGAGCTGACGGCCCAGATTACGCCGATGGCGGCGCCGGTGTTCCTCAGGGTAACGATGGCGCTGTGCCTGAGGGGGTAGCACACCGCCACGTACCGCTCCAGGCACATGCTGACCAGCGTGACCACGGACACGCAGTGGGCCAGGCTGCTGAAGGCGGTGAGCGCAGCGCACACCGGGTACAGCAGCGTGAAGCTGACCGCGGATAGCAGGAACATGGACTGGCTCTGGAACAGCTGCACGGTGTCCTCCAGCAGCAGGTTGAACAGCAGCACGTAGCGGGACGCCTCTCTGAACAGCGGCCGGCTGCGCAGCGTGTACAGCATGGTGAGGTTGATGAAGAGGAACACGCAGCATGGCAGCGTGATGATAGGGAACATCACCAGGCCCAGGACCCCCTGCTGAGGCCCCGTCACGTTCAGCGCACTCCTCCTGCTCAGCATCACAGCATCATGACAGACCCAGCAGGGCCACAGAGGTCACAAAGGTCACTGCCACTACAACCCCCCAGCATCAGACCAGCCACACTGGCAGATCCACTTCCTGTCATCAGCTTTTATCTCATCCTCTCTCTGCTGCCACCAGCTGAGGGCTGTAAACATCACATGACCACTGAGCAGCAGAACGTCATCAACACTTCATTACTGATTCAGTACTGTGTTCTGTTGACAAACAAAAGTTTACATGCAAAGTTTCACTATAACAGGAACTGTTTTCATGATGATGCTCATGTAGGTCAGACCTGCTGATTCAACACGATTCACTGAATGAATAAAAACAAAGGACCACAGCTGTCCTCTTCCTCACGATGGTCCCTGAGGTTTTCATTGATCTGTCCTGTAAAGGTTGATGGTTCTCTTCCAGATCTCTGAGGATCTTTTCTGTTTTGTCCACCCAGTTGGTTGGTCATCATGTTTATTGGTCTGGAACTGGAAAGTCAGCAGGATGTCAGACTCTTCAGTCCCAGAGTTAATGAATCTGATCAGACATTAGACTGTTCCCACCTACAGGTTATGGTGCTTCATGTTGGTTTTACCAACCAGCTCCAAACAGCTGCTACTTGTTGGCCGGTTTCAGTCTTTGCTCAGCCTCCATCTTGGTTCTGTTCTGGTGTGGTGGACCCTGACCTCCACTGGTCTGAGATCCTGAGATCACAGAAGATCTCGTCTTCTGTGCCGGCCTTCAGTCAATTGGTAGAAATCGTCAACATTATCCACTTCCTGAGTTTTATCTTCCCATAATGGCTTGTTTTGGTCTTTCTCATGGACTCTGGGTTTCTCTGTAGTTCATCCAGAGCTTTTCCTGCTCCTGGATCTTTGATCCTTTATCATGGAGGAGGATCTTTGGAGATTCTCCCTCTCCTCTGTCAGACTACAGCTCAGGATTTTAATGTTCAGAGAGGGTTTCTTATGAATTCATCACCAGGCAGTTGGACATCATCAGTAAACATTGGTGGTGAACTCATGCAGATGCAGACCTTAGGGATTGATTCAATGTAAATTAAACACAAATATGCATGCAAATCCACATTCAAATGATGGTTGAATCAACGTTGATATAGTGTCAGATATGGTTGAAACCCTATCGTTTATTCAACATACAAGTCAACAACCAATTTCAATTCCGTTTCAACGTAACTGGCTTCAGCGTAGATTCAATGTCTCTGCCTGACTTTGTTGTTTCACCCATGTTGTGCTATCTGGGTTGGGTATAGTTTCTATTTAAGCAGGGAGAAAACTGTCAAAAAATACCCCAAATGATCTGGAAATGCACTACAAAGCACTACAATTTTAGATATAATCGAGACTTTAGAAATAATATGGTCCACACTGTGTCCATGATTATGTGCAGGTTCCAACACATCACATGTGTTAAACTCAAGGGCTGGGGGCCAAATCCAGCCTGCCATTGTTTTTAGACTAGAGGAACACATAAATAGAGCCGTCAAAATAACAGTGTGCTTTAATATTACTTTATTGATCAAATCAAGGCGGTTTTTATCTACTTACTGCCAGATTACATCAGTTAATCCCTCCAGTTTTTGAGGATCTTTTGTGTAAATTCACACAAAATCAACAAATTCCAACACTTTTTTACACTGATGCTAATTATTGAACGTTTTTTGGCAAAAATTATGAAAAACATTGAGTTTAAGTGATGCTAACATTCTTACTTTTACTAAACAGCTGCCTCAGCTTTAATTGATGTCAAATTATACTTCATGATCTATAAGGTGAGGAACAAAATGTTGAACTTTGTCATACATGCAATTTATCGCAAATATTTCTAAATTAGCCCATGTAACCTCACCGGTCACAATAGTGACCAAGAAATTTTTTTCACTTTCAAGGACTCCAAAAAGCTTCCTGATTAAATTTTCTCAGACCTGGACCAGAGGTCAGTGGAGAAGAACCTTCATTGACCTGAAGAAACATGACAGAGAAACACTCTATGGATTCAGATCCACGGTCTGCAGTGAAGCGGGCGCTGTGCCGGTCTGTCCTGGTGAAGAGAGAGCTGAGCCAATAAGTGAAGCCCACAATTTACCTGTTGATTTACGTACCCACCCTCATCTATGGTCATGAGCTTTGGGTCATGAACAAAAGGACAAGGTCACGGATACAAGCAGCTGAAATGAGTTTTCTTTGCAGGGTGTCTAGACTCTCTCTTAGAGAGAGAAGCTCAGTCATCCAGGAGGGGCTCAGAGTAGAGCCACTGCTCCTTCACACTGAGAGGAGCCAGTTGAGCTGGATCAGCATCTGGTTAGGATGGAGACTCGCTGGTGAAGAGTTCAGGTCCTACTGGGAGGAGACCCAGAGGAAGACCAGGACACACTGGAGGGACGATGTTATTCTGCTGGGTTCGACTGGGGAGAGGGACGTCTGGACCTCTTTACTGAAGCTGCTGACTCTGGACAAGCGGAAGATGGACGGATAGAAACGAAACACAAAATATCCACTGATATAAATAGGAAGTCAAAGTTGATCAGGAAATGAGCAGCAACAGACTGGATTTAGAAAATTACTGATGATAAAGTTTGGTGACTCTTTTATATAAAATCCTACAAAAACAATAATTTGAAATCTTTAAACTTTTAGATAGTTAATATTATGGAGGTAAAGAACAGTCAAATACAGAAATATTCCCAAAACATAAATAGTGATAAAATAGATATAATCCCACAGAATGACGTAAAAAAAAAATCTAATAAATGTTCTTATGAAGAAGAGTTTCATCCATCATGTCGGTGTTTGGTATGTGTTTTTGTTCCTGCTGATGTTCTGATGCTGAATAGTTTCAATTTCATCTCAGCTCAGATAAATTCAGTCTGTCACGTGTAAATATGTGACATCTGGTGGTTAGAAACAGAAAATCCATCAAGAGGACAGACTTTACCCTCAACCAGGTTGATTTTTATTATACAGTGTTTTGTGATTTTATGTCTGTGAAAAACATTTTTATAAAAAAATCTTTACTCACTTCAGCTTCCCTGTACAGCGTCACTGCTGATGAACTAACTTTTACATCTCAAACTCCCTTAATTTAAATTTTTTATTTTTCTTATTACAGTCTCACTTCAACTTAACTTAACAACTCAACATCTTCTGGTGACTTTCTTTATATATTTTTTTCTGTAGATTTAATAAAGCCTCCTGATTTTCCTGCTGCTCCCTCTGAATAAACAAAGTTAGGCTGTCAGATAAATAACTCTGTTGGGCAGCCAGTGGGCCGACTGCCTGGTTTCCCCTCCAGGGTTAAGAGACAAAATCTGACCATCAGCATGTTTATTCATCTGCTGACGTAAAAACTTGAATATTATCATAAAAAATGTTAAAGTCCTCAGGTTAATTTAATATTATTTCAAAATATAATATCAAAGGCATAACTGAGTAAAAAATGTTCATAAACTGGATGAACGTTGAAGATTGTCAGGGGCCGTCGGTGGGGTGGTTCGCCCAGGGCATCAAACAGGCTGGGGCCGCCTCTGGGCAGGTTTTCTTATCCTTATTATTAAGATAATTATGAGAATAAGATCACCAAACATTTGAAGTAGGGTTTTATAAAATCCATAAAACATATGAAAGCAACGTCTCTGTGGTTTTCTGAGCTGAGCAGTGAAATGTGATGAGGAGCAGAACGATGAAGATGAAAACCAGAGAAAATGACTGATGCTCTTTACTCTGAGTTATCAAATCATTAAAACGAGATTTTATTCATGAACTTGTTAAAATCCTGCAGAAGAATTTTATTCATCAAACTCAAGATCAGTTTGCTAACCTCCAGCTGCCCTCTGACCTTTGAGCAAAGCAGCATGAAAAACTGCTTTATATAATAAAAACACAAAACTAAACAGTTACAGTGGCTTAATAAAGAAACATAGCTGAGAGTTGGAATATAACCAAAATGAACCAATGTTCCAGTTATTATGAATCAAAAACAAATTTAAACTTAATGAGATTTTAACCTGTAGAGGAATTCAGTGTTTGCAGAACTCTGCTCTGATTCCAGTTTTATCTACAGAGAGGAATCACTCTACAGCTGGAAA